ACGGCCTGGCCCCCGCCAGTTCTTCCTGATCGTCTTTGGTCTGAAAAACGTAAGAGACAAGATACTCCTAAGAGGGGAGGAGGACGGGTCGTGGAGCACCCACGGGACACGCATCTCGAAGAATCATCGTTACTGCACAGGGTGAGTAACTTCTTTTTATTGAGTATAAAACTTAGTGTGTCCTTACCATGTGGAAGGATTATAAATCTGTTTACTTTTAGAATTTTTAGTTTGTATGGGTTGAAACTCTCTTATGCCAAACCAGAGAATCCCAGTTAAGGGTGCTAAATTGTGGTTATCTGGCTAATCATGTAGTCGATATAATTTGTATCGACTACACAATGACCGTTCTTGCAGAGACACAGCGAGATAGTGCCAGGAGCCGGCTCAAGCAGCAGCCTCTCCTATCCCCCCTTGCTACCTCTACCAGAGGCAGAGATGGGGTTGAGGGAACCGGCTTTTAAGCCGGCTCCTGCCAGGACCAGCTCCTGCCCCCACCCTCTCTACTGCCTCAGGGAGGCAGCAAGGGGCAGGGAAGTGAGTAGTCGATACTTCAGTCAACTACTCGCTAACATCCCTAGTCTGGCAACATCCATGGTTGTTGCAGGACCAGAGAGTCCCGGAGGAGGGCCAGTGGCAAGGATCCCTGCAGGGCCCGCAGGGCAGTGGGCTGGCCACAGTGAGCTGATGGTGGAGTCACTCAGCATGTGTCAGTGGGACTGCCCAGCGGGGTTGGGAGCTGTGGTAGCTTGGTGGGGCAGGGAGCCACAGTACACAGCTGCCTGGTGGGTCCCAGAGCTCCAGTGCAGAGTGTGTGGGTGCCCAGCAGGGAAGAGGGGCCAACAGGAGGTGGGCAGCCATCTGGAAGGCCAGTGTCTGGGCCAGGAGGGTCAATGACAGGGGTCCAGAAATGACTTCCTCAGTAGTTGGGCAAAATCCCTTATCCGGGACCAGTCAGGTCCCGAGGGTGCCAAACCAGGGAGGTCCAACCTGTATAACAGTTTACCACTTTTTCACTCTACTACCTTTGTGTCTAATGTTAACTTCCCCCCTTCCACTGTAAAAGTAATGCAGATGATTGTAGTTCAGTTCCTTTTTGGTCGATGTGAAATGAGTTGATTATCACATTCTAATTGTGTGTGTGTGTGTGTGCGCGCGCGCGCGCACGCACAACACTGATGTCATGAATTTTGGGGAGTCTCATTACAGAGGCTAAGGATTTGAGTAGGCATAGGTCAATTTTCAAACTTGGGTACTTAAAGTGAGGCACCTAATTAAATGCTGTAACTTTTTTTGGGGGGGGGCTATCTAATGTGCCAGGTACTTGGTATCTCCATTTGACATAGGCCACCTGTGGTTTTGTGCCTAAATAAGAGTTATGAGGCCTAACTTAAAGAATCCAGGGTTGAAAATCCTAGTTGAATTAAGCTATACAACTTCAGCTACATCAATTGTAGCTGAAGTTGAAATAGCTTAATTCGGCTTTTGGCGCTGTCTACACAGCAGAAAGTCGAAGAAAGAACACTCTTTGACTTCCCTTGCTCCTTGTGAAACGAGGGTTACAGGAATCAGTAAGACATCCTCCAGCTCAACATTATTTCAAATTAACGGCTTGCTGTGTGGATGTACTCTTTCTTATTTCAGAATAATGTCAGTTATTCTGAAATAACACTGCTGGGTAGATATACCCTTAGATACTAAGTGCTGTGCCTGTTGGGAAAAGAAAATTATTTTATAATATCTGTTACCATGTATGGTATTTTGTTATCAAATGCTGAGCATTTTTTAAATTCAGGACAAGAGTTAGGCTGCGTCTACACTAGCATTTCTTTTGGTATAACTTACGTCACTCAAGAGTATTAAAAAAACACCCTCCTGAGTGACACAAGTTACACTGGCTTCAAAGGTGTAGCCAAGTTTGTTGTTTAAGTCTTTCCTGTTACAGACTAATAGTCTAGTAGCATCCTTAAGACTCCAGTTATCTGAAGAAGTGGGCTTTGCCCACGAAAGCTCATGATACCATCTACATGTTTTGTTAGTCTTTAAGGAGCTACTAGACTATTTGTTGTTTTATTAGTTACACTGACAGACATGTGGGTGTGCCAAGCACAATATAAGCAGGAGACAGTCTCCTGCCAAGATAACAGGTGCTGCTTGGTGGGGGTGGTTTAATTATGTTAATGGGAGAGCTCTCTCATCGGCATCAAGTGGTTACATGAACCAGCTTTCAGTGGCACAACTGCTTTCGTGTGGCTGTACTGCTGTAAGGTGGCCTAAGGCACGTTGGAGCTCTAGGAGTAGCATGATACACAGTCCCTCATGTCACTGCCCCACTCCCATTCCATAGTTATAACCTCACATGGGGGAGGGGCAATAGCAGGGGCTCCTCCCCTTCCGTAGTGGTCAGCAGCAAGGGGTCACCTCTATTCCATGGAACCACAATAAGGCTTCATGGGCTCCATTTCTATTCCAAAAAATCAAGGACAGCTACAGAGGTTATTTTCCTAAAGCAGGGGTGGGCAATAATTTTAGAAGGGGGGGGCCACTTCACAAGGGGCCTCAGGCAGAAAGGGGTGGGGCTTAGGCGGAAGGGGCAGGATTGAGAATTATCCTTCTGGGTACAGTGACCTTATTTTCTGAACCAGCTGCAGCTAGTAAGAACAGTTTAAATTAAACAGATGAAGCGTTTTAACTTTCTCATGTTAGTTTATCAAACTTCACTTTAAATAAAGTAAAATATTATGTCCAACACAAAAGGTTTCAATGTTTTCTTTATTTATGGCAGGGGTGGGGAACCCTTTTTGAGTAAGGGGCCACTAACCCACAAAAAGAATCACTTGGGGACCACACAAGTGAGAAGCAAAAAAACTCCTCCAAAACTCCCCAACGCTCACTGATGTGGCCCCAACTGAGATACCTCACTCTCTGGTGCCCTAGCCACACGGAGTAAGGGGAAGGGAAGGGGGGACTGAAGTTCAGGGCTTCCCATAGACCAGATTTACTTTTCTGGGGTTCTGGAGTTAGCGGATTTTATGGACCTCCTTAGGCTCTTGGGTAGGGATAAAAATGAGGGCTACAGTGCACAAGACAGGGCTGCCAGCAAGTAGGATAGGGATGGGGTGCAGGATCTGGGAGGGAGTTGGGGTGCAGAAGCAGGCTGGGAGGAGGGTGTCTTCGCCAGGTGGAGGGAGCTGGAAATAGGAAGGGTGCAATGTGTGGCCAGGAGAGAGAGTGCAAAAACAAGGGAGGGTGTCAGAGCAAGCTGGGGGTGCTGGGTCTTGAAGGGGAGGGAAGTGAGGGAATTGGGGTGGCATGAGGAGAAGTCTTACCTGGCTTCGTGCTCCCCTGGAAGCAACGGCTGCAGCCACGCTGTCTCAGCTGCCCCAGAAGGAGGCCCCGCTTCCATGGCAGCCACGCAGTCCAGGGCTGGCCCCGGAGGCCAGAGGCACTGCAGCCAGAGAGGCCGGAGTAGCTGCTGTAGCCACATAGCCCTGGGTCAGCCCCAGAGGCACTGATGGTATGGCCATGTGGACCAGGGCCGGCCCTGGAGGCACCACTGCCATGGCCGCAGGCCGGCCATGGAGGCAAGAGATGCCACGGCCACGTGGTCTGGGGCTGGTACCATGGCTACAGACTGCCCTGGCGTCTGGGGGTGCCACTTCTGCAGCCACACTTCCTCAGGCTGCCTCAGAGGCCAGAGGCATCATGGCTCACGGCTGGCCCCGGAGGCGCCGCTGGCATGGCCACGTGGCCTGGGA